GTAACAAAGCTAATTTCTTTTTAAAAATGAAGCTGTGGTACCAGGGGAATTCCGCAGGCCAAGCAGCTTGCACTGCTGCCTTTCAGCTTGAGGACCCTAGTGTAAGTCAGTGTATGCTGCTGGTCCCTAGTCTTTTCTTCAAGACGTAGACCTCAGCTGGAGGTAATGATTATGTCTACTGTTAAAGTGATGACCAGGGCTACCTCAGCTTGAGCAGCAAATCTAAAATGAATCAACCAGTCAGACACTGTGTGAGGGTAAAAAAAGATCAACACTTCCATAAAGTTTAAAAAACAAGGAGGAAAGACACCAAGGTGGCATGCTCAGCAGAGTTTTATATCAGTTCTGGAAATGTTTGCTGCTGAGTGATTGTACTGTATTAGTAACTTACCTTGGGGGAATCCTTATCCCAGCTCTCCTAGTTATAATTAGCCACTCAGTGTTAGAACCTATCAGTAGGTTAGGGGGGAAATGGTGGTGGATACTGGGAGGTTGTTTGATAACTATGAAATTTATTTTCTAATGTTGTAAATAAGTGTTGAAGCAGCATGGAAATAGGTGTTGTATGTACCAAAAAATAGTAAGATGTAGGTGTTGTATGTACCAAAAAATAGTAAGATGCTCTGGACCAACTTTAATAAAAAGTTAAAACCCCTGTCTCCCCTCAAATCCTCAAGAAAATCTTCAGATTTGTTACATCATCTTTCAATATGCTTAAAGAAGTGATTGTGGTATTTTTCCAGTCACAGCACTGTGGCAGCCAATAAGGATTCCCCTACCTGCCAGTGATGGCAGCAGTTGTGAGGTCACTGCAGGAAGCAATCACATAAAATGTTGTTGAAAGGATCTTCAGTGGACTTCTACCACTTGTTCAATGCCTTTTGATATCAGTCACATTCCACTGCTGCATGACTGGGTGGATGCGTCTGCCCCATTGTCCCCACTTCATCTGAGAGATGACAGTCTTTGTTACTTATTCCCATTTTGGGGGGAGTCTGCATTGAAGGATGGCACTATTATTTGACCTGTGCTCAGAATGACTATAAATAGATATATTTCTACTTACATTGTATACTAGGATCCCTGAACTAACTTTTTCCTGGTCCCATAACTACATGTTTCCTAATTTGGGAAGCCACAAAGCCATAGCCCCTTCCTAATAACTTTTCTTAGCATTTTACACTCCTTCACATAGCATAATTTTAGAATATTTTCCAGATCACTGGAGAGAGGCAGATTTAGCCTTTCCATATTGCTTTTTCTTCTCTTAGTGTTCAATCTGTAAAAAGAAATATTTATTTTTCAGTACATGAATTGCATATACATATATGTGCAAGCACGTGCATTAATGCAAACTGAAGTGATGGAATATTACTAGTAAGAGTGCCACAACTCTCCAAAATAAAACAGAAACTCGACTTTGGCAGTTTGCACCTCATACAAAAGCATAAGTGAATACGTAGGACTTGCAATAGGCCCTGAACATTAATTGACTTAGGCTCTGTCAGACTAATAAGGGAAGCAACTCAAGAAGCAAGGATACCCCACTGAGAACATACTTGCACTCCCACAGACGTACAAAGATAGGGATAGTCAGTGAAAGAGTCCTATCTGATTTCATGTTTCATTTAGAGCATGAAGAGACAGCCAGATCTCTATAATAGGAGGGACCCAAACCACATAAGGAATACAAATAAAGAATATATTATGTGCAGGCCATGAGTGCAGATAGATGCTGTACCTTGGGAGGGTGGGGGGGCAGATTCATATCTCACTTACGTAAATCACAAATAACTCCACTGAAGTCAATGCAGTAAAACTGGTGTAAGTTAGAACAGATTGAGATTCATAGTCTCCTTTAAATGAATACAACCTCATGATAATAAAACTAGTAAAACCTAGACACAGTAATACCATCTTTGTGAAGAAGAGATCGATAGTTTACTATCAGGATCAAACTCTAGTTCAAGTCAAATGGCCCTGTGAACAGCAAAGCTGTTATAACAGACTGGCTCTGATGTGCCTGACACTTTTTCTGTTGCTATCTTGTTTCTTCTATGAACAACTTTTGAAGTTATTCTGAATAAATTCAGGAAAATGTCTGATTTTTTTCTCTTCAGGAAGTTCATCAAATTGCATTAATTACTTTTTTATCATTCAAATCCCTTTGTAGTGGTGGTTTTAATGAAGGTTAATTTTGTATCTAGCATTCAGGTTGTATTATTGACAATAAATTCTAATGCAATTAAGTGTTAATCCAGTATAATGTTTGCAGTGTTGCTGAGCTGAAGAAGAGTTCTGTGTAGCTCAAAAACTTCTTTCACCAACAGAAGTTGGTCCAATAAAAGATATTACCTCACCCACCTTGTTTCTCTAAAATCCAGTACACCTCTACCCCGATATAACGCGACCTGATATAACACAATTTCGGATATAACGCGGTAAAGCAGTGTTCCAGGGGGGCGGGGCTGTGCACTCCGGTGGATCAGAGCAAGTTCAATATAACGCGGTTTCACCTATAACACGGTAAGATTTTTTGGCTCCCGAGGACAGCGTTATATCGGGGTACAGGTGTATAATGGAAGATTGCTCTTAAACTGAGACCTTCAGATCGTATTATTCTTTCCTGTTCCTCCTCCTTCACTTTTAGCATGATATGTGAGCTTGAGTGAATGGTGGGAATCAGAGTGCTTTGCATATTGTTTATTGGGGTAATCCTGCTCTATATTATTAGGAGGGAGAGATTTCACAATCCCATGCAAAATCTGCTACACAACGTTACGACCCCCACAATGTTTGCAAATCAAGTATTCCTGTTCAAGAAAAGGATAATGATGTAAAAGTCAGACTCCAAGGCAGTAAGTTGAGGAAGCAATTTTCTTTTTAAAAATCACAATGCAGGGATGATTTTACAGTATATCATAAAAATTGAAACAAGGTTTCTTTCCTTATGGGAGCTGATTTGTCCTATTGCATGCAATTTTTTCTTTATTAATTGCTGTAAGTAAACCAAGTGGAGTACAGGAAAGAGTGAGGACAAAATATAAATTGACTGCAGTTTCAGTTTACACAATTGGCTGCATATAAAACCGTGTACGTAAAACTAAGGCAACTGTATCTCTCTGGGATTCTGTAATGAGTGGGATCCCTAAAAGTGAGATGAGAGTAACTTGTTTCCATTGACTGACATGGCGTCACTTCTATTCTAACTCGAGATAGCTCTGATATAACTAGATCAAAGCTAGCGTTGGTATGTGTGAGTGTGCTTCAGTCACACTTCCCAACTGCAGTTTAGACATACCCTATGATTTTTCTACCTCTTGCCTTTCTTAATAGCTGATATATTTCACTTTGTTATGATGAAGAATAAGTACTAAGTTAACGTGTTGAATAAGTGGTCTTCTTTCTTTAAAATTGCTTTATATTGCTATATCCTTTATATAGGATTCAGTAAAGAGTCCAAAGAACAATGAACTTTGCACCCGACATAAATCTAAATAGAAATAATTTTTCATCGTTCATTTGTAATTAGCAATAATCACTGAAAAACATGTGTCTGCAACTATCTGATGTGGAAGGAAAAAATCTAATTATGGACTGCAAATCTTTTAGATAAAAATACTCTGTGATTTTTACAGTTGTGGGTGCCAACAAACTGATTAGAAATATGCTGTGTAAACTGCAATAATCATGATACTAATCAAGGATTTATGGGACCAAGGTACCATGGTCATGGATGCACTAAAAATGCACAGACAAATGACTGAAGCTTTCAAGAACCAAGCAAGCAAGCAAAGCGTAACTAAGGGTGTATCTATACTGCAATTAAAAACCTGGGGCTGACTTGAGCTAAGAGGTTGTTTAACTGTGGTGTAGACATTCGGGCTCAGGCTGGTGCCTAGGCTCTAGGATACTACGAGGTGGGAGGGTCCCAGAGCTTGGGCTGCAGCCCGAATACCTACACTGCAATTAAACAGCCCCTTAGCCTGAGCTCTGTCTGCTTGTGTCTGCTGGCACAGGCCAGCCACAGGTGTCTAACTGCAGTGTAGACATACCCTAGAAGACTTAGGTGGTTCCCAGGGCCAGATAAAGGCATAGGTACTAAAGACCAATATTAGGGCCCCAGCACCTTGAATCATGTGATCACTTCAGAAGAATGTTTCTAGCCCTTATAGTTGCAGAGAGCCTGTGCATCTCAGTGGGGTTTTAATTTCTAAGATCCACTTCTCTGTGGGGCCCCACTAATACTCTTCTTCCCTAACCCCCAAAACAGAGGACTGTGTATGTGGCAGGAGAAGAGTACAGTGGACTCAGTCTTGCCCCATCTACCCAATGTTTACACCCCAGCTCCTGCCCCAGTGAGGGGATAAGGGTGGGGGGGCTGCTGTTCCCAGCGGGAGGGGCTGCTCCTGCCACTCCTGGCTGAATGAAGGGGACCCCATATCTTTGCCTTTAGAAAGGGAGGGTGGCACCACTGCCATTTGAAGTGGGGAATGAGGACACAGCACTGGGGTGAGGCCATGGGGTGGAGCCATGCAGGGGTGGGGAGTTCATGTCATCATGTGCCTACAGCTCTGATTTGCCTTAATCCTGCCCTGGTGATTCCTTTGGTCTCTACTGGTAGTTAATGCTAACATCCATTTCCTCCTGTATATTTCTATTAGTAATACTGTCAGAAATTAATACAAAGGAACTTCAGAATTCTGACCAATAATTTTTTCTATTACCATTTTTCTTAAAGGTCTTTAACAATAGTTAGAGCTTAACTGTATTAATTTTTGTACTGAATTTTGTGTGGAATACACCTAAGTAGAGTCAAGGCACTTAAAAAATCTAACCTGAACAAAGACTGCTGGAAATTCAGGCCATGAAAAGTGTGTCCCCTTCTGGGCCCATTAAATTACAGCCTGTTTTGTCACTTCAATGGATTCTTTCTGTATTTCACTGCAACCTGTGGTGACTCTGCTTAATACTGTATGCCCCTCTGCTTTCTTTTGTAGATCTTGGCAAGCAATAACTTTTGACAGACAACCTGCATCCTTCATCAGAATAGTTGGAACTCACAACACAGCTAATGAGGTATGGGACAGTTTTTAAGAGAGGAAAAACTATTATATTCTTGCTGGATATACAGATTTAATTCTATTTCCATAGTAAACTGCTAATGCTGCCTAAAATGTACCTATGGTTATTGCTGCTCTAGTAATGAAGTAACTTCAGTCTAGTAATGAAGAAAGAGTATTTTCATCACTTTGTCATTATCTTTCCAGACTGTACAGGTTTCTTCACAGCCAAATGTAAAAACCACTGTAGCACTCCGAGAGGTGGTAGTTAGGTTGACGGAAGAATTCTCCTGTCGACCTAGCGATGTCTACACTGGGGCTTAGGTCATCTTAATTACATCACAACGGGGCGTGAACTTTTTCACAGCCCTGAGAGATGAAGCTAAGCCGACCTAACTTTGTAGTGTAGATCAGCCGAAAACGTTTGTCTGGCCTTCATCATGGCATTGTTGAACATTGCTGTAGGTTAGGAGAAATACTTAGCATACAAATCTTTATTTTTAGGAATGATCACACAATTATAAATGCACTGGGGAAGCAACATAGACTCTGATTGCTTGTTTTTATCACACAATATTAAGATGCCCTATAAATAAAAATAAAAAGTCTCATTTTCCAGAAGAAGATCAGGTATAAATAGGATTATTCTACTTATAAATCAGTGAGCCAAGCAATCAGTCAGCCATGAGTATGCTGTGTGGTAATCAGGATAGCTGATTTTATTAATTCATTTATTTTGAATTCAGAATATTTAGAAACATCAACTTGTGCACTACTTAACCTGCAGTATGTAACCATGTGATCTTTCTGTTGTTACCCTGCTCCTCCCTCCTCTCCTCTAGTTTGAGACTCTCATTACAAATTTCTCAAATCAGGTGCTGATTCTGCAATTAACTTTGGGGGGGGGCACTCAGAATGTGTAAAGTTAAGTGAGTACATGTGTACATCTTAGCAGAATTGGGGTCTTAGATTGTAAGCTGTTTGGGGCAGGAACCATGTCTTCCTATGTGTTTGCAGAGCAACACAATGTGGTTCTGATTGTGTTTGTGGCCCTTTCAGCACTATTATAATACAACTATAATACAGACACTGTCTCGGCTCTCTCTTACAGAGGATTTTTACACTCCCTGGATCAGACTGTGGTGAGGGTGTTGGCCTTCTCTTCCATTCATGCCACTTCCAACACCTCCTTTTCCCACCTTTTTGCCTCTTTTGAGCAACACTGCATCCGACACTATTCTCCTGTCCCCCTCCATGTTGCTGTCATCTACCGTCCACCCAACTCCTCCCCATCAGCCACACTCTCTGATTTCAACTCCTAGCTCTCTCTCGCTTTCTTTCCTCTCAGTCTCCCACAATCCACACTGATGACTTCAGCTTCCATGTTGACAATCCTTCTGACCCCTTAGCTACACATTTCCACACCCTCAAGTCAGGGCC